GGGGGCGTGGGCGTGGCGCGCGGGGGCGGAGGCGGCCCCCGGCCCGTATTGTCTCGGCCCGCCGCGACCGGGGCGCCTGCCCTCGGCTACGGTAACGTACCACAGTTCATTGAGGCACAATCATTGGTTTATTTTAGTTGCTTTTTTATTTTTTTCGTTTTTTTTTATTTTTTTTTTAATTATTATATTTCTTAAGTATACGTCTACAATAATTATTATAATTACTTTTAGGTACATAAATTTATTCTAAATAACAGAAACGACACGAAAAAATTGTTAGAATCGAAAGCGTGAAGCGTATTAAAAATCCTTTAAGAATATAATTTCACAATATATACATATTACAAGTATACGTTTAAGATATAAATATACAACAACATAATAAAATAACACAGAATAAATTGCACGCGCAATCGTGTAGAGGAAATTATGATGCAGTCATTGAACCGAGAGGAGATTCAGTTACGCAGCGCGAGCGCCGCTTCTCACAACCTTGCCGCCCGGCGCCGGCTCCCTGCGTGCGGCACGGGCGACGGACGTCCGCACGACATAGGACGGGACTAGCGTCTGACCAATCTTAGAATCAACAATTAAGTTCAAAAGCGACTGTAAATCTTTTACTAAAACAGTCGGTACATCTACGCAGGTCTCGTTCGTCGTACGTACCGTCCGTACACCTGAGCACGCGCTGCGGGCGCGGCATGCGACCGACTCGCGACTCCTATCAGAACCTAACACCGCTACACCACAACGCTTACATTATGTCTCTTTTACAATTAATATAATCATTAAGTACTGTTTAGTTAAAACTGACTAAAAATTTCAAGGCATGACATTATCGTCTTTATTCTATGGACAACATATTCTAAAGGGCACTGGATCATTATACTTTTCGTCGTTACGAATTCCTAATATTTATAAATGGAAAATTTTTATAAAATTATGAACTTTATTGCTGTTATAAATTCACTAGACCAAAATGCCCATTAAGGCTCGTTCGAATGTTTAGTTCGGACAGAATAACATTAGATAAAAATAATATATTTTTTTTATTTAATTCTAAGAAATGAAAACACCCTTACTCGATTGAGCTCGACAACAATAGAATTGACATCGGATGTTTGGAATCGCCCGCGCTATTGTTGCACGCGAGTAACTGAATGCTTAGGAACATCACATCGATAACCCGTACCGCGAAATTATTTCAAATTAATTTGGAAGATATGTATGCAGATGCTACCATATTGTTCCAGATACCTTTACCATATCTTTGATTATCACTCTTTGGCACCTAACATTAAACGTCGCGATGACAAGGTCATTATGGCCCCTACTAGTGAAACTAAATTTTCGTGTTCCTATTGCTTAAACCCTGACATTAAAATAGTGTATTCCGTACATTCTATTCTCGAATACGGCACGAACATTTCGCTATGTAGCGAACATTCTCCTAATGAAATTATTTGTAAGTAGGGTAGAAAATTGTGAACATTTTAAACTTTAAAATTAAGGCAACAGAGTATACGCAAATAAAAATAGAGACATTTCAACAGTCGTCATCGGTCCCTCCATCGTGGTATAATTAGTTATAGAGTGAAAACGCTAACATCGTTACTAAATGAACACATACAGCGAAACATTTAATACTAAATCTACCACAAGTCCGAAGCGATCGAAGAGTAAAAACGCGCTATAATTTCAACACCGCACTCTCACCTAACTTATGTGATTAATTTGTGAAGAGTTTCCGAGCTTACGCCCGATAAGGTACAGAATCACTTAACGCCTACACTTAGGTCTACGTAAACGTTACGTTTTAAATCGTAAGATCACTGGAAGATACTCGAAATACAATAGACACGATGTACACGTTAGTCATTAGCCCTGCGCGGCCGTGGGGTCGCGGCGAATGCGGGGCGCGGGGCTCGGGGCGCGGGCGCGGGCGCAGGGCGTGGGGTGCGCGGGGCGCGGGGCGCGCGGCGCGGGGTCTCGTCAGGGGGCCGGGGGCGAGGGGCGCAGACCCCTCGCTGCTCCCCGTACATATTGGTAATGATATATTTTGGCAGAGTATCTCTGTGGCACACCGTAATAAATTAAAAATTAAATAAAAATGTAAATAAACTTTATGATAACGAACATTTGCACGTGCGAATCGTTGACGTTAAAATATCAATAGTATGCTTATAGAAACCTAGGATAGGGCTTAAGTATAATCTTACAACTAGATGATGTAATACCGGGAGACCTACACCTACAAGTATATTATTAACAGAATATCTAAAGCATATGTCACTTTGAATAACTTTCAAATTGAGCCTATAGAAAATACCACAAATCTTTTTATTAAATAGATATTGATATGGCTAAATTTAAGTTAGAACTTTATCCTTACCTATACACAAAAGTGTAATATTTAAATTACTGTCAATTATAGTACTTTATAACATTTCTCACAAATGTATGTAATATAAAATGATAAAACAATTTTCAATTTAATATATTAGGTTACCCTTACATTAATCGTATAATCTAGATAATCGTTTTATATATTAAACATAAAGTGGCACTTGAATCACAAATACTGGAAAAAATTTGGGGAAACGTGAGGTGAGGCGGAGGCGGACGCCTCTGCTACTCCACAACAAAATACATTATCCTTACATTAGGCAAGATACTTTACATCACAGGATAACGGATTGCCTTGCGATCGCCACTGCGCGTCCCTCCCTCCTGGCGGGCTCCATCTCATTCCTTCATTTTATAACATGCATTACGTACCAACTTATTTATAAAACAAACGATACCGTCCGAAATGCAATTACACGCTTATTGCTGGATCAAATATCACTTATGGAAAACGAGGGCACATCGCGATTGAGAATTCAAAAACAGAATAAATAATTATAATACGCTCAGTAATGCTCGAATACTAAATAATATTAATAATAATAAAAAAAAACACGAAAGAAACTCGGAACGCAACAGCTCGTAGGGCGAAACAGCAACAGCCCCCGAGCGCAACAAAAAATAAATACACACTAAAATAAGGCCACGGGACGAGTGACTGAGGTAGCCCGCGACGCAACTACTCTATATCCGATAACTTACGTTATTTGGTAATTACAGGAGCGAGCCGCGGGCGCGAGCGCGAGCGCGAATGCGAGCACGAGCACGAGCGCGACCGCAGCGGTGCGGTGCGGCGCTGCTGCGCGTACGACACGACATACAACACCGAGCGGGCCGGTTGAGTTTCACCCACGCTTTAGCCCGCCTCGACATAACCTAACATACTTCATATAGGTACAATAACCGTCGATACATTATATGTCTGCCGTTGTATATGTATAATTCTTATGTACACTAAGTCTACATGAACACTTACGACACAGTAGATAATAGAATTGTGGACAGTTTGCTACAGCGATCGCTTCGAGTCGTGTCGGCGACTTGAAGCGGCCGATACGATCTGACTAGGCGAATAAAATAAGTCCGTCCCCGTACGGGGGACGGCGAAGCGTAATTAAAACTAGACACCTAAGAGGTTCGGTGAGACGACACGCGCTCCGGCGGGATGTCGCTCGCCGCGGAGACGGGACTCCTTAACAATTAACAAGGATTTTGTCTACACAAACAATTAGCAATACTCGGAGCTCCGTCCCGCATCATTTTGTACATCAACTATAAGATTAGGATATTTGATTAAATACGTAAACCTCACTAAATTGCTGGATACTCAGTGAATGCGTCGGCCTTGGGGCGTTACCGCCTTAGATGGACTCGCCGCCGAGCAGGTCGGGGGGCAGGAAGGAGTTGAGCGAAGAGGGCGTGGCGCGCTGCTCGTGCTGGTCGGGCCACAGAGCGGTGTAACCCCAGCTGTCCTTGCTGCCGCCACCGCCGCCGCCTGCGCCACCGCGCCACGCTCCGCCGCCACCAGAGCCCAGGTGCTGCAGAATCATCTGCACCTCCGACTCGGCGGGGTTCTCCGCGAATATTGTCGTGTTGCTCAGCACGCAGTTGTTCAGAGCCATCTGCGCCTGCGAATATCAAACATCAATCAGCCACTGATCCCATATTTTATTTTGCTACTAACTCCTCTAAATCTTATCTAACCAAGGTAGAAAACAATAAGGTTATACATATGTTCTAATGTTGTATTGTAATCGTTATTTCTACTATGTACACTTACCTTAGCAGCCTCCTCACGGGTTGAGTAACGTGCGAGGGCGAGGCCCTGGTTCAAGTACAAGTGGAAGTTCTGCAGAGGACCGTGCTGGACGCACAATGTCTTCAGCGTTGATCCATCAATCTGCGTACACGTAAAAACATTTAGAAAGGAATTACTTTACTAAACAAATTTACTTAGTAAAAATTATAATATCTGAAAATTTTAAAAAGTAAAATTATGATGACCTCGCTCAACTGATTTAATAATTGCAGATAACAAACACCAAAAATGCAACTTTGCAATTTCTTCAACCTACCTGTGCTGTAAGGTTCTTCAAAAGTAGCCAAGTGGAGGCCTGCCATGTGGGCAGCACTCTCTGGTTGACGTGCTGAGGCCAGGCTTTGATTCCGGTTGGCGCGGGCCTGGGCTTGGTGCCCCAAGCGTCGGACTTCAGTCCGGTCCCGGTAGCGCTAGAATTGGACACCGGCGGGGCGTAGCTCCAGGTGGAGGAAGAGAGGGAGCGCTCGCTGCCCGGGGGCGAAGTCTTGCCGCCCAGCATATCAGAGTCCTTGATAGTCGCGAGAGACAACGGCGAGCGGACCACAGAGCCCGGGGTCATCGCAGGATCGTCCTCAACGTTCTTCATCATTTGATTACCCTTTTGTAAGTTAAAAAACCATTAAAAAATTATGTCAACTTAAAAAATGTTAAGGACATTCCAGTTTTTTGCCACAATTAGTAGATTATATTTATCAACAAAACAGATCATTTATTTTTTACCTTCCAGGGTTTGCCGGGTTCGAACTCCGGCACGAGGTCGTAGACGGGCTGGTGCACGGCGTGTGTACCCCACGCATCCTTGCCGTCCGCTACGTCCGCACCACTGTCACCCCATCCCTCGGAGCTGCGTCCCACACCCCATGTCCTGTTACAATAACAATTAATTTATGAATCAAGAACCCATTTTGACAAGTAAAATTCGAATCGCTTGACACTTCAAAATCGATCAAAGAATTTAGACAATATCACAATGGAACAGACAAACTTACATACGTATATTTTTGCACAGACATATTACATTAACAGTAAATCTACTAGACAGTTATTTTCGCATTCAGATTGGTAATTGTACATTTGATAAGAGATATCTATACTAAGAAGCGGTTTCAGTAAACATTAAACAACTTGTAGTCAGTTAATATTTTCGTTGTCATTAATGTGTACTTACGAGTCTGGCTGCAAGCCAAGCTGGTTGAGCGGCGGGCTGGTGGCGGACTTAGCTGTGCCGGGCGCGCGGCTGAACTCCGAGCCCTCGCCATCCTTCTCCAGCAGCGGCAGCTTCCACTGCGTCAGACGGGACTGCTGGTTGCCGCTTGCACCATACGCCTGCACAAAAACATTGTCAAATATTGCTAGAAAACACAAACAAAAAAATAACTTAATTATTTAAGTTTCCCTACCTATTTTTTTGTTTTATGTAATGTGACGTCGCAATATGGCGTCGGTCCACATAGTTGTTTGAAAGGTATTGAATATTTGTACATAGACCTTACGTAGATAGTTGCAACTTACAGATTGCGAGTCCTTGCTGATGCTGATCTCATTGAAGTTGTTCTGCAAATGATTTAGAGGATCGTGGTTCTGCTTGAACAGGTCCGCGCCGCCAGCCTGCTGCTTCATGTACAGCGCCTGTTGCGTCGCTATTTGGTTCTAAACAGTAAAACAACTTGTTAAAAATTTAAATTTACATAAGTATTAGAACACAAATTGTATTATTTTCATGAGAATGTGACTCTCAAATTGCTTATAAATGAAAAAAAAATACATGACAGTGTATTCATACTTTTCATTGACAACATAAAACTTTTTTTAATATTTTTGTTTTCTTGTTTACTTCAAGACACATACAAGTTTTGGGTTAAAAATCATTGAAAACAGATACTGTAATTTCCTTTACACCTAAAAATGTTAAACACTACATAAAAGTTCGTCTTTTAGCAAACTAACCTGCAATGCTGTAATCTGTTGTTTGGCCTTGCTTATCTGCACTGAGTACTGCACAGCGAGGGTGGAGTTACCCTTTGACAGAGCCAGGGTGTGTTGCTGCACCAACTGCTGCAGCACTTTGATCTAAAAATTATTTAACATTTATTATATGCTCACAACACATAATTAATAACAAAAAGACTTTTAAATACTTCATTTAATCTTTATAAGTTATTTGGTTAGACTTCATCCATTCATAGTTTTTTTTTGTCATAAACAAAGATTTGCGAATCTAATTAGAAATCAGAAGAAATCCTTGCCCTAAAAAAGGGGACCTTGTACAAATTTCAAATAACATAGCACTTTCTCAGAACTACGTATTTATTTTGTATGGAGAAAAATGTAAATGTCATTCTAATGAATAAATAATTAATTTTCTCAAGTTTTTTTATTAACTCTTGTAAAAAAAAACTACTATTGAAATTTGAAATTGTTAGAATATTTTAATTTAGTTTTATTTTGAATGGGAAATGTGTGAATACTTAAAACGATTAACCTCTTTTAGTGTAGTAATTTTGGTATATGATCTAACCTGCTGTAAGAGCTGATTGAGGAGCACGAGGGTCTGCGGCGCGAGGGGCTGATTGAGGATCTGGTGGTTGAGGTAGCCGGCAGACACCGCCATCTGGATCTGCTGCACCAGCATGCGCAGCTGTGCAGTGCTTGGTTGCCCACTGTTGCTACTGCCACTACATGACCAATATACATTTCAATATAACTGAATTTCCAAAGTACAAACTTGTATTAATAAAAACACAGTCATTGAACAAAATGTATTAGACACGACTATAAAATACCAAGCAGTTTTTTCATATATCTCGTTTTAACTGAACTCTTAAATTATATGTACAAAGGAAGTTCCAACTGCGTTCAATACAATCGGAACGCTATTTAATTTTATTATTATTTTATAAAAATTGTTAGATAAAGTAGTGATACTGTATGATATGACAACAAGACAACTAGTCTTGTTATCTGAGAACACGTGTTTTACCGGAAATACTTCTAGATACTGTTTTGTAAACACTTTTATATTCGTTGTACTAACCTGTTGGGGTTGTAGGAATGGTGATGCTGCACTGGCTGTGGCGGCGGTTGGTTCAACATCTTCTGCACGACAGCAGGCGACACCGCGGGCACGGTGGGCGGCTGGAAGGATGTGTGGTGGAAGTGATCATCACGACGCCAGCTCTCGCTGCGCGCGGCCGTCAGCAACTCCAGAGCCTCTTCAGTGTTCATGTCGCGACTGCGTAGAGCCGCTTCCACTTCCTCCTTCTTGTAACCAAGATCCACCAAATATCTGTGACGACAAGTTTTAATTAGCTAAATTTGTTTCTCAAAACTGTGTTTACTTATAGCCAGTTTGTTGTAAAGCCTTGCCAATACCTGAATTGTTTGCTGTTCCACACGACTTCTTTGGGTATCTGTTTGCCAAGCGGGGTGCTTTGAGGTAGTTTCGGTCCACCCCACTCGCCAATATCATCGGGCCACCCTCCTCCGGGGCCTGTAGGTTTAGGCTTCGGCACCGGCCAGAGACCTGGGCCAGATGCATCAGGCCAGCCGGCCACATCGCGGTCCGGCCACCCGGGTGTATGAGGTTCGTCCCAGGAGCCATTGCGTTGTGTGTGTGCGCTCCAGACTGCGTCCGGCTTGGTAGGAGTTGGTGGGATCCTTTGGACTGGAGGTCCTTGCGGCGCTCCACGACCTTGCATTCCACCAATGCTGCCCCTCTGTGCCCATAGTGATGTACCATCATCGAATCCGCGACGTGCAGCTGGCGGGGAAGGTTCCTCCCATCCTGTTGCTTTAATTGGATCTTTAGGACCCTGGCAGGAAACAATACTGGTATTAGATATAAAAGTTAGATAGGAATTTCTTTTGCAACAAATTTTCTTATAAATCATAGGTGCAAAACCAAAGTTTGATAATACTTGAGCAAATTAATTTCTATTCCTAATGTTAGCAAACAATGGAATTGTTAATGGCATTTTTATATGTTGATTTACGATGTTTTCATTGGTATAGAAAAACATATGTCAAACATGAGCTCTTCTAGATGTTTTTCAAAGAAATAACTTTCTCAGATATTCATACCTGAGAAAAAAAATATTCGAAAACATACAACTTTACCATATAAAGTATTATTAGACTTATTATTTTTTTCTTTGAAGACAAAGCATTAACTAAGAACTGCTTAAGTACTTTGAAAATAAAACCAAGTTTAAATATAAAAAAATCTCATAGAAAATATCAAACAGTTCAAAGAGTACAATAAGAATCAGATTTTTTTGATAATCATATTGAAGCACAAATTAAACCAGAAATTTAAAACAAGTCAATTTTCTTAATCATCAGTAAATGATAACTCATAGATCATTATCAGTCATTATTAAAAATATATTAGTAACACATAATTAAAACCTATTATTGTATATTGTAAACCATGAGACAACAAAAGTTTATAATGACATCAATTCAAGACATAACCATTGTCTTTATTGACTCAGGCTGATTTTTTTTATTTCAGACCAATTGACTCAACTAATCATGACCACCAATAGAAACCAATAAACATTAGAATGAAGAACTAGGCGTTTTACCTACTGGCCTGCAAAAAAAATTATGAAAACAATAAAATTTATACTTATTTACCTGTGAGCCCCACTGGTTAACTCCAGCTGCAGTCATCATCTTGCTAGGACCACTTGCGTGTTGGTGGTGCTGACTCCACATGTCACCGTTAAGTCTGCCCGAAATCCCCCCACGGAGGTCATGTCTCGGGTCAGAGGACTGCTGACGAGGATCTTGAGTGCGATGGGGATCCAATCTAGGATCAGCAGGTCTGTGGGGTTCGCCCCATGCATTCCAATCATCTTTCTTTGGCACACCCCATTGCTGTCCGTGTTGCGGAGGTCCGGCGGGCCACTGCTGCTGCGGCGGAGGTCCAGTCCAAACATTGGCAGAATCTGCAGCATCATCATCTTCGCCCCAAGTACCACCAATGTTGGTTGTAGGTGTATGTCCCCATGGGGTCTTAGCAACTGGTTGTGGTGGGGGTTGCCCTCCATTTCTCAAGTTGGCCTCCCACAAGTCTGTCCCGAGGAATGCACCATTGTTAATGTTAGGCTTCCATGGGGGCGGTCCCCCGGCAGCAGGTTCAACCTTTGATCCCGGCTCTGGAGATCCAGGAACATCCCAGTTGGTGTCTTGATTCACATGTTGCTGTGATAAAAGATCATGTCAATAATAAATTTGTTAAAAAAACTTCACCTTATCAATTTTAATTAATCATAACATTTTGAGTCAAATGATGTGGCTTGTTTACAAGATTTTTATACACAATAATAAATAGATTACTTTCTTGTATGTTTTTGTACATTGTTGCAACCAGCGATATGTTTAATGGAAGCATTCTTATCATAAATAAACAAAAACCAGTTTGCCCATAAAACAACAAGAAGCAAAGCAAGGTTATATTGCATAATTTTTTTATAAATCTGAGACAATCTAAAATTAAAATTGCATAAACAAATTCAGCTGTAGGCTATAGCTTTAAAGTTGGCAATAAATCAATATACTTACACCACCCCAGCCATCTTGGCTGAATAAAGCCTCTCTCATGGAGTTAAGCTGTTCAATCTTAGCAGATGATGTGCTATTACCATTATTGCCATTATTCCCATTGGTTACAGATGGCCCATTTGAATTGGCAGATGGATTAGTTGGATTAGCTCCATTGTTGCCATTACTACTATTATTTGTACCTAAAACATAGTATGTTTTTAAAATGATGTCATAAGTAATGTTTGACCAAATATATTTGTCAAATGTTTATACCATTGCTCGCAGGTGCACCATTGTTATTGGGTGGAGCATTTTGCATATTTGGGCCAGAGTTCTGCCAACCTTGGGCTGTAGATACATTTGTTGGCGGCATTTGGTTTCCATTACCCTTGTTGCTGTTCACTATAAAAGAACAAGGAAGATAAAAATATGGTCCACTTGATTTTTAAGGGTTATTGATATTCAATAAAACTTACAATCAGCTTGTGATGTGGGCGGCCGTTGCGCCGTATTGTTCCATTGCTGGGTATTGTTTGTCCCATTGTTTGTTTGACCACTGGAATTGCCACCCCAGTTGCCAGCTGGAGATGGGACACACAGTTCTATCATGGTTATTAACATCTGATTTAGTATCAGAATAAAAAAATTAAATACAAGCAACCTAAATTTAGGTTCGTTTCGTCTTAGTTGATCAAGATAAATTCTAAAGAAATTCTTAGAAGGAAAAATTATTTCCATTATAGAAAATAAATATTTATGATATAACTTTTACTATTTCCATTATGTTACCATTTTATAATTTTTAAATTTAATTGATTTCCTTGTTTTCAACTAAGATTACCCATATTATCTACATTGTATGTAGTAGTAATTTCTCAAACTTACGTCAGATAATATTCGGAAATTTGTGTTTAAAAAGATAATAACAATGTTTTTATAACAAACATTTTTCAGTTTACAAATCAGAAAAAAGTCAAAGAAATAACTAGTGTCTTTTTTACCAAAACGGACACTTTTATTATGGCTGCATAAAATTTTATGTCAATTCATATATTAGCCAATGTACAAATTGTATTACAACATTTAGAATAGTTTGGGACAAAAAATAATTTCTTACCATTGTTAGAAGAGGGTGGGCTGCCCCATCCAGCCGCTGCATTCAAAGAGCTTTCCCCACCACCGCACAGTCGGAAACGTCGAGGAACCCCCCATGAGTCAACTTGGTGACTTTTCTTCAAATCGGTTATGATCCTCTGCTCACTGTCCACTAGTTCTAGCATCGCATCAAATGTGAGATCACCATTCGCAAATGTTCTCATTGCTCGCTTCGAAGTAGATTGACCATCAACTTTCGATGTATTATTGTCATGGTTTGTTTCAACAGACTTGTTGTCACAAGTCATCATTCGAGTTTTCGTTTCGCTTACACGAAAAGCCTTTTCGTTAAGTAGTTGCGTCTTATCCGTGCAAGGTTCATGTATAATACAAACTGAGGATTTAAAAGCGTAATCAGACTTGTTCATATATTCTGGCGCTCCCAACGCCATCTTATATTTTAAGTTAAAGCTACTGAAATACGGGTCACTGTATGAGATACCCTGGACTGTTATGGCGTTAATCGTTAAAGGAATGCAGTAGTTAGGCATATCGCCAATCATTTGGTTTTGTTGGATACTATCAACAAATTCTACATTATAAATATTATTATCTACCATTTTTACACTAACTTGCTGACTTTCATTCTCTTCGACTCGCTTACAAGCACCAAATTTATTTGTGTTCACCACCAACATTAAGGTGGAGTTTTTACATTGCATTGGTTCGGTAACAGTATCAATATTGGAGTAACAATTATCCTTAATTAAATGTGGAACACATAATATTACAGAAACATTAGACATCAGACAATTATTTATAAATAGAATAATTTTCTACAATATCCACCTAGAATTATACTTATTTTCACAGATTGCATATTGTTTCGATTAAAGACTAAGTAACAATGGTTCGTAGTGATGCAGTCAAAAAGCAGGTAGCAGTGTTTTATGCCTCTATGGCAGAGGGCAGGGTGAGATCACCGCTCAGCTGCTGCGGATGCGCCTCCTTGCCCCAATTGGCCCAGCCCTACAAAATAACAAATAACTCTACATAAACAACAAAATCCCTAGCAAAATTCGCTTATAAACATGTTTTGGAAGTGTACAATCTTGTAGCGTATTTTTTTTAGAAATAGTCACTAACTAGATATATTATGGCAACATTTGATTATACTCAGTTTTAAAATCACTAAAAATATTCCAGTAAGAAAACTAAAAACCCTACCTTTTAGGACGGACGAGAGGCTGAGCTGTATATCACAGATAATGCGGGCTCGGCAGATCCTTTGGAGCAGCTTAGCAGATAGCTCGTGATGATTTATTTATCTGCGCCAACAAAAGTGACACCATTTTAACGTTTACACTTCACAAATTGCACATTAACTAACCCGCCGTGCTTAAACGTAATATCCATCGATCGAAATTATCACAAGCAAAAGATTATTTTGAGGTTATTCTTTAGTGCTCCATCATAGTACACTTTTATATTTCTGCATGAGGTGTTGTTGCCAAGTGGCACATGTAATTATAAAGCAGACATGAAATTGCGTCGTTTACAGATGCGATAAGAGTGTATCTTGAAATGCAATAACCATTGAAATCTGCGTTAAGTTTGACGACTTCGTCTCTCCATGTTCGTAGAAATCACACTTGAAGGACGTAACTAAGATCCACAATGATTATATTATGTATCTTTAGTATCTTAAATTGCTATTGGAAATACAGAATTATTCTTCGAACAGCAGGTACGTATAGGTACATTTGTATTTGTGTATTTCGGCCTTGAGACTCGATGTTGAATATCTACAGACTCTATATACATATATCTATGCTACGTATATTTATCTACAATACCTATCTATACTTAGAGTGAAAGTTAACACGACCTATTATCAACCAAATTAAGCGTTTACAAACGATTTCAATACATCAACTTTAATATATGCGATAATACTTTATATGAAACTCAAAACTTAAGTAAAATATATAATTTGTGCTAGAGAAAATACAAAATTCTTACGTGACACGATCGAGCACAACGGTGTTATATTACTAGATAGAGAAGGATGGAAAATAAATGCGATGGTGACGTACAGCGTGTTAGAGGGAGACAAAACTTACGCCTGAGAAAGCGATGCCATAAATGCTAAATATGATCGACAAAGGTTTTGGGAGTTGGTTAGCGAAAAATACAAAATATATGTTCATACCTTCGTTTTGTATAGTTGTTGGCACAATAACTACATAGATTTATCCAAAATCACAATCCCAAACCCCCGAGAACACGGCTTCGACGGCTGGATGGAATGATTTCGTCGTCGGGGTTCTCACGAAGTGTTACGAAACTACACTAACTCAAGATGGTCGATGGTTTCATGTCAGAATATGCACAAATGTGACTTTTTGCTTTAGTCGGGTTATAGCAATTTACTATACATAAGTAAGTATTGAATGTAGTATAGTCACATTAATACCGTACTCATACGCCATACCAATAAGTATTCGCTATAGGCTATATATAAGTTAACTGTATAGATATGGTTCAAGTTATGTTTTTTGATGAAATGCTACGACATGCTTGAACAATTTAAACGACTATGAAACAAACCATACCGTGGTAATGAGTTTATCAATTAGGATGTTACATAGGCAGTCCTAAATATGTAAAAGATGTTTGAGCTAATTTCGTATTTCTACCTAACAAGAACGCTTGAAAGCAAATAACAATATCTTCCTTTTTAACAATACTTTATAAATACATTGATTATATGTTTTGTTGATATTTTGGCAAAAAGGGGTAATTAAAAATGGAATATGCGACTATTTTCCCAAAAAAAGATAAAGATAAAATGTAACAATAAATCGTAACAAAATTTTGGATTTTTTTATTTCATAAATTAGGTTTAGCTTCACTGGAAGTGATGTTTCTAATGACGTGATTCAAATCCAGGACATACATACAAACCAACAGGCATAAAGTATGCCTAGCGAAAAACAAAACTTTTATAAGAGCCGAGCAATAAGATCCAAATTTAATGGATCCATGTCAGGACGGTCCCAGGCCGGACGGCAAGCTTTTCTGTTTTAAAATCTATGTGATTAACAAGTGTACAAGTATACCAAATTTTTATTTTAGCTGTCCTGACCTTTGCATTGAACTTTACATTGAAGCGATTTCGAAGTTCAGACCGATGGGAGAATCATCTACTGTACTTCTTAAAGATTTTTTCCAAGGATCTGGAGAATTTTTTGTAGTAAAATTAAAATGTAATTCTCCAAAGTAAGTAAAAACACAGGTTTTATCTTCTGAGGATTTTTAAGCAAACACAAAGCTGTTACTTTTTTGTTTATTTTTATAAAAATTATACAGTTGAGAATTGTATAATTTTTATAAAAATCATATCAAAATATTCTCTGCAATATATTTGAGTGGCTGAAAGATTATACGTAGTAATTGCATAGATTGGTCCAAAAATAATAAAATGACATTGACGTTTGACATTTGTCACTTAACCACTGTTCAAGTCAACCAATGAGAGTAAATTTATCGATCAAAATTAGCTTAAGTTGATGATCCGTTCCGTTATCATCAATAAATAACGTGTTTTCTATGGATTTCTTTGCATTTTTATACCGTACATTGATACAATATGTTTTTAACTAACTACCTGAAATGCTGCGTCGTATACTAGGTATAAGAAGATTGTTTAGAATGCCTGTAACTGAGACTGGGGATCAATATTCTGTTTGGGTATGTCTTTTAATAAAACATTACCATATGGTACTAGCATATAAAATTACTAGGTCTCTTCGTGCTATTAAAAATCTTCAAATATATTTTATGGATATTTTGGTAACTTAAATAAATCTGTTTCTTTGTTCATTATTCTTTATTATTAAAAAGCCACAACTACTGAAGGTATACAAGAAAGGGGGCGTGAGCCCAATTCGAATAACTGTACACATACACCTAGGGCATTCTCTTTTATTTATATATATATGTATATGTTAATTCAAAATAAATATACTGAAATACATTACCTAAGTGTTATTAAAATCTGTCCTATAGTTTAGGGATATAAAACTTTGATTTTTATTATTTACATATATTATATATTGAAATAATTTATTTATGAAAAACTATTTATTTGTTATCACTTACAAATTAATTTTGTAATTATACTTTATATCAATGTTGATACTAGTATTGTGAATTCATAAAAGTTTATTTTTCAGGTGGGCTTAATTTATATATTTAATTTGATTGTTGGCACTGGAGCTCTTACACTACCTGCAGCATTTGCTAGAGCAGGATGGGGACTCAGCACAATATCTCTTCTCTTTCTTGCATTCATGAGCTTTATGAATGCAACATATGTTATAGAGACTTTGGCATGTGCTAATGCTGTGTTTAAATGGAAGAGATTACAATTCATTAAAAGGAATAGTGTAAGTATATTATAGCAAACCTGTAACTCTCCCGGCACTGTCTTGCCTAAGTTGCTGGGGCATAGAGAATAGAATATCCTTTTAAACAAACATTCAATAAAAAAACATAATTGTGACAAAAGGCTGCATACTGAACAAAGCAGGGAAGGGCAAGGCCATTCCTATGCTGGTTTTCAGCTAGACACACATACTATTTACACTTAGGTCATAAGGTGACTGAACCTAGGAAAAAAAACTAAAAATATCGAACTAGAGTTAACCTTTATGATGTTAGTTCTGTATGCTTTTATTACTAAAGGTATTACTGGGTAGGGATACTATGTGGCAACACTAATTATATCTATAGCTATCATTAAGTGAGTTTTATCTGCCTTAACAACTATCCAGAAACATATTGCCTCTTTGAAGACAATAACAAAAGACTATGTTCTTTATAGTGGAAACTAATTGTAAGTAACAATTAAACTATACTGTTATTTCAGTTCATTTTTATTTTCTGTAGGTCCAAGATCATGAATCGGATGAAGAGCCGAGTTCTTCACAGCACCATTATGGTGAACTGGAGGATCCTCTTGTATGCGGTGACTCGATCCCCTCCAGATACTATAGTCTGGATAAAAGAATAGAATTGGGAGAAATGGCAAACCTATTTCTCAATAAAAGTGGACGCACAATGTTTTACTGCACTTTATGTGTATATTTGTATGGAGACCTTTCTATATATTCAGCTGCGGTAGCCAAATCTTTGATGGATATTGTATGGTGAGTTTTAAATTAAAATCATGATTAATATTTGTTACTAGCTGTCGCCCGAGACTCCATCCGTGCGGAATTAAAAAAGATGTAGCCTATGTGTTCATCCAGACTGTTCTACATGTGTGCTAAATTTCATTCAAATCCATTGAGCTGTTCGAGAGATACATTCTAACAAACATTCATACATCCATTTATAATATTAGTAAGATAAGATATATTGATGTCAAATTAGTACTTTTTATACTAATACTAGCTGTCGCCCGCGACTCCGTCTGCGCGGGATTAAAAATAGATGTTGGCCGATTCTCAGACCTACTCAATATGCTCACAAAATTTCATGAGAATCGGTCAAGCTGTTTCGAAGGAGTATGGGAACGAAAATTGTGATACGAGAATTTTATATATAAGATTGAAATTTGTTTGTTTTCGTGTTTTTCAATCTTCCTGATTCAATTTTTTTGCTCTTTATTATAGACTACCACTTAACACTTTAAATGCAGTTTCAGCAGTACGTGACTTTCTTTTAATGCGTGTTTTTTTTATAAAGAAATAATTGTACTTTATACGCACGTTTTAAATCAACGATCTAATCAATAGACTAAATAATGATATATTTTAGTTATGAATCAAAAAGTAACGGGTCTTTTATAATAGAGGTTCCCAAAATAAATTATTAATATGCGGGACAAAGGCACATTGTGTACGTGTTTTCCGGTTTGGAAACGAAACCTAAAAGTAATTGAAAATCGTTGGTTAATAGCTAACAGTAAATATAATTTTTTCAACTTTTGCCGCCATTTTGGATAACAAATTTCTTAATTTTGATTCTTATAGGAATAAACACGTTGTCAAAGGATAATTAAATTATTTTAATTAACTACAAAAGATGCATTGCGATCTAATATAAAAGGGATCACACTAATATTATAAGCGAATGTATGGATGGATATATGGATGTTTGTTAAACTTATCTGCAGAATGGCTCAACTGGTCTCGTTAAATTTAGCATAGATAGCATAGTCTGGAAGAACACATAGACTACTAATTTTTTTTTATTCCGCTGGAGAGATTTGCGGGCGATAGCTATTCTTGTAACTTTTGTAAATAGGTTTAATATACTGAAAATATCTAATATAACATATACTGTCAGAAGTTGTAGTCATCTATGATTCTCAATTTTATAAAAGCAATGACAAGAATATAAAAGCTATAATATTGTTAGCTATCATCGTATTTAATCAAGTGGTACTGCATTGAAGTGACGTCATATGTCAGTCGACCGAACGACCTACGCGACAAAATCAATATGCACTACAATAAAAGTGTTTTCGCGATATTGAATAACCAATTCATGTTTGAAATAACAATGTGCCCGTCAATGAACTCTATAAAATAACATATTTAAATAAAATCTTACTAATATTATAAATGTGAACGTTTGAATGGATGGATGTTTGTAAGAAGGTATCTCCAGAACGTCCCAATGAATTTGATGAAATTTGGCACAAATTTTAGCTACGTACGTAAGTTTTTTTAAGAAATACATGCTGACGGAGTCACAGGCGATAGCTACAGATTAAAAAACAATGTGTCTTTTTGAACTCCTTGATTTAGATTAAACTTAAATATTATTTCAATAATATCTGTTTAACTGATTTTTTCAACAAAAGAGAATCTGGAGTGGAAAGAGATGTTTCATGGACTCACGGAATCCTGACCAATTTAGGAATAACTACACCAGACAGGCCTCTGTCTTCTTTGTCTTTATTAGAAGAATAAATGTAAAGTTCTTTATCAGTTCAACAGTGCCAGCTAATGCAAGCAACACAACGGATTGGGATGCGCTGCCGTGTTTCAATGTGTCGTCCACCGCGCCAGACGCGTACACCCGACTCGACTGCTACCGGGTCGCGTTGTTGACCTTCTTCGCCGTGACTGGACCATTCATCTTCTCCAATGTACAGAAGACGAAGTATCTCCAGCTGTTTACGTCAGGCATGAGGTGGCTCGGTAAGTCATAGAATATTTTATCAACAAAATATATTAAGAAAAAGTTAATTAGTGCTATTGACGATTAACTCAAAGAAATAGTAATCGAATGATTTTCGAAACGAATTTTTCTTTTTTTTTTCACTAAAAATCTTACCTACAGATGGTAATATTCGAATTGGATAATATAAAAAAATGTCTTTACTAGATGTCGCCAGCGAATTAAAAAGGTTAAATACTTCCAAACTTTGTTCCACATTTATGAAAAATTTCATCGAAATCCGTTGAACTGTTCTGGTACCTTCTAACAAACGTCCATTCGTCCATCCATGTAAACATTCGCATTTATAATTAGTAAGATACGGGAATTTTAGGTTAATTTATATCAATATATATCTTTTTCTTATAAAGTTAAGTTTGATTGCTCTCGGCCACACCTAATCTACTTCCATAGATAGTAGTGTGTACATGTCGCTTGTATTTAGGTTAAGAGTTCCATATTTAATGTACTAACCCCACCCAAGTGTGAAGTTACATTCACTTAGTTGCCTTACAATCTTTATAACTCACTTCTAAACGTATTTAATCAAATACCTTATATATTTACGTAGTTTTAGACATTATTATTATAGGTAAAGTCCTTTGGCGCGAATGGCGCGCTTTCTTTACCAAGTCAATGATTAGTGAGGGGACATAAACGTTTTAGTAAGGCTAGTGTTGTGCCAGTACACCGGCACAGCGTCGGATTTTTTTCCTAACAGTAGTAAAATTATTATTAGTGGAACAATGTATATATGGATACTTACGAAATATTGATTTAGTTCCTCTGTTTTTAGGGTTCCGTACCTCTAAAGGATAAAAACGAAACCCTTATAGGATCACTTTGTTGTCCGTCCGTTTATCGGTCAAAATCCTTTTTTAACTATTGTACGTAATTTATATTGCATTTAAAAATAATGCGTGAAATAAGAGAAAACCTTTAATGTATATTAGGTTTTAATAAGTTAAAATTAACAGTAGAATTCATTTTAGTAGCATTTGATACATTGAGAGAGCTTATTAGCTTATGGCTGATAGTTTCAAGTAAGAAGTTTACATCAATGCGTAAAAAAAACCTTTAGTTCCAATGTCAGATAATTATGATTATCAGTATTTACAATGTAAATAACATCGATAGCTCTAATTCATTTAATCTTCAATATATATTTTTTTTTAATTCTATCACTTTTAAATTTACATGTTACTATGAATACATTGTTTATTATTATTTTATCGGGTGTTGTTCATGGCCACGATTATATATAGTTGTCTGTATTAGTGATCAAAAATGTAGTCATGTGTAATATTAAAAATATAGTCTTAATAATAAGGTACTATGTCCAGATAGCAAAACTCAGGGTACATAAGAGATATTAGTTTAAACTAGCTGTCGCCCGCTACTTCATCCGCGCCGGATTTAAAAATAGATAGTAGCCGATTCTCAGACCTTCTGAATTTACATTTAAAATTTCATAAAAATCGGTCTTGCCGTTTCGGAGGAGTACGATAACTAATATTGTTACTGGAGAAATTTATATATAAGATTAAATGGTTTATTATGGGAATTATTTAATGTTTAATAAATGTTCTTTTGCAGCGTTTGCGATCATGATATCAATGGCGATATATCTACTGATCGGACATGGACCTCAAGGTAAGCCACCGGCGTTCGATTTCACAGGAATGCCGACGCTGTTCGGTGCGTGCGTGTACTCCTTCATGTGTCACCACTCGCTGCCCGGTCTTATCAGCCCAATACGAGGCAAGAACCGTCTCGGACTCCATCTCGCTCTGGACTACGCCCTCATCAGCATCTTCTATCTCCTTCTAGCTTTTACAGGCGCCTTCGCTTTCGCCAAACTGAGCGATTTGTACACACTCAATTTCGTACCAACGGACAATGAAAATATATTTTTAGAAATAGTCGAATATTTCTTAGCTCTCTTTCCTGTGTTCACGCTGTCCACGAGCTTTCCAATAATCGCTATAACGCTTAGAAATAATCTACAAAGTTTCTTTTTGGATACGACAAGGCTTGAATCTTATAATATTATATTAAGAAAACTAATATTTCCTATTGTAACAGTCGCGCCGCCTCTACTGTTGACCTACTTCTTAGAGGATATTGGTGTTCTAATTAAGTTTACAGGCTCTTACGCGGGAACCGGTATTCAATATCTGATGCCCACATTTCTAGTACTTTCTGCGAGACGGCACTGCACAAATTTATTAGGTCTAGGAGTTGTTAATAAATATAAAAGCCCTTTTTCGCATATAGCCTGGGCTGTGTTTGTACTGCTTTGGTCTTTCATGTGTATTATTTTAGTATCGGTGAATATTTTTGAGAAGAATTCATGACGTTGATCTCAAAGTACCAAAAGCTATTGCGGCCGTTTGGAATCGATTGCATTGCCGATAAATATTTACATGGTCTTGAATTAAGTTCTCTATATTACGGTCTTTTTTAATTAACTGTAAATCGGTATTAAAACGTGCGAAAACAAATTACGACCAATGACATGGTTGCGATGACGTCACCTGTGTTCAGCCAATCAGAGTGAAATTAACACGATCCTTTAATTACCAAATAAAAATCTCGGGCACAGACAAAAAAAGATTCGATACAGTATCTAAAAAAAAGTAAAAAAAAAGTCAAGATTTATTTTTTTATCTTTTGCACTAAGCATGACATTCTACATTTGTTTTTTATTTTTTTAATATGATAAAGTTGTACATTGTAAAAACTGCCTTTTTAGTTAATATTATTATTAGGTGTGCTTAGCATGTGATTGTTTATTAGAATATTTTATAAACTTACATTTTAATAAAATAATTACGATAGATTACGCATGACAATAATTAATGTTATTACGAGTAGATTTCTTACTGTGAGTGTAGACTGCTGTCATCTTTTTACACATATTGTTGTCTCTGTTCTTTTCAAAGAGAATGAAAGGGATAAAAATATCACCGTAGTAAGCCATAGTGAAATAAAATAATGTGAAGCTTTGAATAGACAGTTATTTTTTAATAACCAGAAAAAAATCAGGTACCTACTGGACAGTACGTATAATATCTTAATTATGTAGTTATTATATTTTTACTTTACATCGGAAACACGTAACGCTATGCTACTTTTTTTCTGGTAATTACATAAAAACCATTTATATATTTTGTTATCTGTTGATCAGATATACACATATGCTAGGTTACTAATATTTTAAAGTAAATAATACCGCATGGTAAGCAACCGCATCCCAAATAAATTATAGTGATATAATTCTTGCCAATGTACATTGTCACATAGAAGTGACAAATATAGAATTTGTTTTTAACCTAGGAATGTTTGAGAATTCTTAAAGGTACGTTTACAAAGGCCACGTCGGGAAGCAGAGCAGATTTTAATCGCAAATTACATTTAAATAATGTTTAATTTAACTATTACGTCTTTTACTCTTGTTCTTGACAAAAACATGCAAAGTTAAATCAAACCTTATTTCAATATTATAAAGATCAATTTTGTTTGCTACAAAAATTTACTCGAGTTTTCGCTCCAGTCAGTCTACAAGAATCATATTGCATTTGTTATCTTACAGTGCATAAGGTAAATGTACTTGGATAGTGTAATTTGAAATAAAAAAATCCTACGATAGCAAAATTAAATGTAATGAGATTGTCCTGTTTACTTTTATCTTTGTTGTGTTTTCATAAGTAGGTGATGATTCTTTTCCTTTCAAATGTTTATGTATTACTTACTACACATGCACAAAAACTTGGAAGTCTTTCAATGACGTCATACTGACGTCCTAGACGATACCATTTATGGTATTTGTTTGCCTATAGAAATAAGGAAGTATTGAAATGTGTGTTATGTACAAGCCTTAGGGTTTTGTCTAGAAGTGTCGAGTTAATATAAACGCAATAATTAGCTGTATTCCAAGCTTGTTGCATTTTGCGATGTTAAAAGTACAATAAAAATGTAATTAAGAACACTGTGAACATAATAATGAATATTAAATGATTTCTATTATTATATTAACAAATAATAATAGTTTATTGTAAGGGTCAATAAAAAAATAAATATTTTAATAAATAAATTGCTGTATTGTAGTTGTTCAAGAGTGATTGTTGTGTTTTGAAGACTGTGATAGAATTAAACATTTAGTTGGCGAATGTGAAAAGATCGACTGATTTATGTACATTTTTATAGTGTGAAAAATATTTTTTACTAATATTAAAGTTTATTTTGTGTGTTTGTAATTTATTCTTTTATTTTTATAATCCTTTTCAGTTACGAAAAACATGACAATATTTTTTTTATAGAAGAAGGGGGCAAACGAGCAATGAATCACCTAATATTATTTGATCCGACGCCAGAGGAACCGCAGATGCGTTATACAGAAAACTTATTTCCAGAATAACAATACAACACACGCTTTTAATGAATACAGGATGTTTTTATTTCGGCGAATGAAGGTCCTGCCATGTACCAATGTGTTTTTCGATGAGCGTCGGTGGCTCAGCGGTCAAGCACTTGACTTGCAATCTGCAGATCCTGGGTTCGAATCCTGCCATGTACCAATGTGTTTTTCGATTTCCGATTTACATATGTACATTTATCCGACGTTCTTACGGTGAAGGAAAACATCGTGATGCAACCTGCACATATCTAAGAAGAAATTCAAAGATATGTGTGAAGTCAATCAACCCGCACTTGGCCAGCGTGGTTGACTATGGCCTAATCACCCTTAACTTAGGGTAGGCTCCGAGCCCCTCGGTGGGGACGTATAGTGAGCTGATGATGATGATGTTGAATGAAGGTAATAAAAGTAAAAAAAAACATGAAAGGTTGAAGAATTATTTATTATATAATCATCATTACACATATTTGTCACTCATCGCGTACGCAAGCGACAGAAAGCCTTCCATTTCATAGCTCAATTGACTTTGGCATGTTACATTTGTGCGGGCGAGGGCCGGACCACTCTACAAGCACAACAGTGGAAACAAATAATATCAACGTGGTTCAAATGACCGCAGCAAGCGTATTCGGGTTCGACTCAAAAGTTGCCTTTATCACGCTTGTACAAAACATACGTATATTAAAGCAAAATACTTCGTTACTTACAACATTTTTTTTTCTCTCAAATTTTCTTACGAGCTTCACAATTTTTTACAATTTAAAAGACCAATAATTTACGATTTATATGAAAGTTAATAAATATATTTTGAGTTGGAAAAGAAAAATTGCAACGCTCATATTTTGGAAATAAATTAAATAAAAACTTTAAATTAATTTTAATCGATTAAACATTTTCTATTGATATTGTGACATGCTGTATATTATAAATTTGCTGAGCTAAAAGAGTCGAAAAAAAAAGAAATCACAATTTATAATATACAGAAAACAAAAAAATATCCAGAAAAAGGTACTTATATTTTGGTTAATTATAAAAATAGCACTGGTAACTACAAGATAAGTGAATCGCGTATTACAACCGAGCCGAACTATGAGAGAAAATAGTTTCACACCTCATAACCTACAATATAAATTAATATTTGCCATTGTATAAAATAAAAAATAACAACTAATTATTTGAGTAGTAGCTGCGCACACGCAACATTATGAGACATAAATATGAGATACGGTCGTTTTTTTAAACGATTTGTAACTAGAAAAAGTTAAAAAAAAATCTATCGATCGTAATCTTTATAATTTTTTAATAATGGAATTTCATAAAATACACTAGACGCCACATTTAAAATAAATTGTCTTTATTGAAAAAATTAAAAAAAAAAAACAAACAAACGACTTGAAATTTCACTCGTTCCAATTAATAAGTACATACATAAATAAAATGGCTAAAAGTATCGCTTTTTTATTATAAATAATAAAATTAAGCCTATTGATTTAAAAAAAAAACCTTACGAATATTTATTTGTAATGGGATATTTTAATAGGTAAAATTAAATTCGCATGCATTTGAATCTCATTAAAAACAACGAACTGTTCATTGCCATATTAGCTTGCAATATGAAAGACAGATTCGACATTTTGAAATCATTATTTTTTTTTCGACAAAATAACGAGACATATCGCCCTTTCAAACATCTTAATTCATTTCTATAGTCGAAAAGTACATAATAAATACTATAACTACAAGATTTCTTTTATTATACATACATACATATATATTTAGAAACGCCTCGCATCCGGCGACTGAAAATGTCCGCAGACTCTGCTTTGGGATTGTCAATTATTCACATGAGGTTCCAAAGAAGGTTGGGGGGGGGGGAGTCGGCAAAAATCACAAAAAATTACAGAGAGAAGGGGTACAAAATATAGGGTGTTTATTTTTTGTAAACGTAAAGATAATTTCAATATTACTTTGCACTAAAAATACATAATTAAAGGCATTGTGGGTTTAAAAAGTAGCTAAAGACACATGAATAATGGACGATCCCTTAGAATTTAGTGAAATAAATACTGCGTTCTAGACGATTACGAATGATTAAAAGAATCGAAATAATTATCACACAAAATTATATGTTAAAATTATTTGTGACGTACGCATGTGAATCGACAGATACAAGCAAGTGTGAAAGTATATAACGTTGATTGTATATAGATTATTACATAAAAATAAAGGACAATTAAAATCCTTTCATTGAAGAGAGAGAGAGAGAAAGCTATATGTTAGAGAAAAAATAAATAGTATAATTTAGAAAGAAGTAACTTTAGCTAAAAACATATAAATACAATTTTGTATTATTTTTCATGAATTAATGATACTGTCTCTATTACTTTGTAAATTATCAACATAAAGACATTTATGTAAATTAACAAAATTCAAAACAATAATGACATATTATTTATATTATATAAATAAAACGCATTAAAGTCATGTTATATAAAATAAAATAGAATTAATCATTTACATGTAACCATGTAAAAAAATACACGATTAAATGTTTTTAATTTTTTTTTTATTTTAAAATATTACTTTATACGTAATATAAGGACTGTATTGAGTGTGAATGTATTACTATGTATGAACATTTACCGAGTTTTTTTCATCATTCCATCATTCGTAAACGTCTTTTATATAAAAGCATCTCCACGATTATATATTAAAAAATCATAATTCTAATTCCGTCACTAAAAAGTGTAATTCTATTCCATCACTATTTCCCATGCAAATGTCTTACAGTAACGATATCGCTAATGTTATTGAAAAAAGTACTTTATGTTTAGCACCTTAAAGTTAAATCTCGCAAAACTCAAACATTCGATGAGAACAAAAGAACCGTGGAGCGCTTTACGATGCTGTATATGTATGTGTGCGTGACGTGAGGTGACGTATTGACGTTATCAAATATCTTGTCGGCTCGTATAGCTGGGCGTGAAGAGATGTTGGGCACTGCGTGTGAGTCAGTGACTTCGAGCCGCCAAGATATTTGAAAAGACATATACCTAGCGGGCGAGCGGCTATAGCGGCTATAAGACGGAAGGCGGGACGTCGATGTCGTTGCGGCGCAGCGCGGCGCGGAATGCGTCCAGCGAGGAGCGCAGCGTGAGGCAGAAGCCGCGCGAGGCGGGCAGCAGCGGGTACTCGGGCGGCGGCAGGTCAGTGCTGGCTCCGCTGGAGAGCATCACCAGCGACTCGAGGCGCTGGCAGAGGGCGCTGGCGGCGCCGCGCATGTGCCGCAGCACCTCCTCGCGGAACGGCTCCGGCGGGCTCACCACCATGCGCGTCATCGACTGCACCAACTTCAGGAGCACCATCTCGTTGTACATCCGGGAGTTTTCCTTGCCCTGCTGAGTTCCTATACACGTAAAAATAAAATAAGAGTTAGAGATTTATTGTTAGCTATATGTATAACATAATTAGGTGTAATAAAAACCTGACCTTTTTGCTTCTCGTAGCCGGCCTCGTTGAAGTAGGGCTCCGCGTTGAGGATGAGTCCCTGCAGGGAGACGATGACCTGCAGCAGAGAGCTGTCCTTGCCCCACACCTCCACGCCGCGCCCCGACCACGTGCCCAGCAGCGACACGCACACCTACGCACATCAGTAGCAATGTCATTCATGCCATGCATGCATATTGAGATAAACTTATCAAACAGACGCTGTTATCGCGGTTACCTCTGTCAGAACATATATAAACCAACATTGACAGAAGAGCACTGGAAAGTTAGACTTCTGGCCAGCAGGTGAGATAAGAGTGTCGGTTTGTACCTTGCCGTCCTCGTAAAGGTTGGGGTTGAGGCGGTCGCTGCAGTACGAGTGGTAGTGGCAGAGCGGGGGCGCGCGCGGGTACTCGCCGCCGAGCTGCACGTCGAACACGAACAGCCCGCCCTCGTATGGCGTGCGGCTCGGGCCCGCGATCATCACCGACAGCAGGTCGATGCGGTCCTCGAACCCGCGCACCCACACCTTACAAACGATACATTAATATTTAATATTACAGACATAATTTATTCCCAGAGGAGGCTAGTGGAGACTTGGAATTACAAAAGCAGTCCATAAAAAATGGTTCGATCAGTAAATACAGGTGTTATGACAAAACCGGTCGTTGAATATTAAGAAATATTTTTCTTTAAGAAAAGGTAGCAACTGCGTATGTTATATTCT